TGCTTCTGTGAGTCCAAGTCTTGTACTATTTCAACAGCCCCCTAACTGGCCTCCTTACCTAACTCTTCAAAAGACCTTCCCCACTGCTACCAAAACATTCTAGTAAAAATGCAAATCTGGATTCATACCCTTTAACTCCGTAACTTCAATGCTATAGCTTTTTCGCCTGAGGACGTTGAGATGGGGATGAAAAAGGCTTCGTACAGCCACTCTGGAGCCAGACGGCCTGGGCTGTAACCTCGGCTCCCGAGCGTCTGGCCACACGACTGAATCAAGACAGGTATTTAACCTGTTTTGTGTGGGCTTCTTAATTTTTCAGCAACAGCTTTTTTGAGATGCAATTCAAATATTATATAATTCACCCATTTAAAGTGTACACTTCAGTGGTTTTCAGTATAATCGGAGTTGTGCAACCATCACTATGATCAACTGTAGAACGTTGTCATTGCCCCGAAAAAGAAACTGCATTCACAGTCACCCCCGCTCCCCGCCCGCTCCAGCCCTAGGCAACCACTAACCTACTGCCTTATAGACTGGCCTCTCTGGGCCTTTCATACAAACGGAATCATGCAACGTGCAGCCTTTTGTGTCCGGCTGCCTTCACGGAGCATCGTGTTTTCAAGGTTCATACAGGTTGTAGCGTGTCTCAGTAATCCGTTCCTTTTTTACTGCCAAATAATATTCCAGTGCAGGATATGCATTTTGTTTATCTGTTCATCAGTTGATGGACACTTGGGTTGTTTCCAAATTTTGGCGATGCTGAATAACGCTGCTATGAACAGTCCTGTACGAGCTGCCGTGCAGCCATGTTTTCTCTTCTCTTGGGCATAAAGCTAGCAGTGGAATTGCTAGATCATACGGTAACCCTGTATTTAACTTTTGAGGAAACAATCTGTTTTGGAAGAACCTGTTTTGGAAGACTATTTAATGATATGGGGAAACGTTCTCTTCATTTGATAAAAATATTAAAAAATACATATACACGTAGAGGTATCTATCCTCATTTATTGTAGACATTACAAACTTTTGTGTACTTATATATAAAAATGTGTTTCTGTGTTTCCCAAATTTTCTAGAAGGAATATGATCAAATTCATAATCAGCAACAAAAAAAGAGTGATTTTTTTAAAAAAATGTAACCATGACCATGTTATTCTCCTGCTTAAAACATACCTGCGGGACCTCACGCCCACCTCCGTGATCCGGCCCCTGCCCACGCCCTGACTTTCTGTCTCGATCCCGCGCCAGCAGTGCTCAGTTCTTCATGGTTTCCCAAGCAGACTGGCTCAGTGCTTCTGCCTGAGCTGTCCCCTCCGCCTGGAGTTCCGAGCCTTCATTCTATCTGCCTCACGGACTCCTGTTCTATTATTTAAAACCCCAACTTGGCTAAGAGAACTATGTCTTGGCCTTTTCTTTGGATCCTAGCACAATATTCAACTTAATATATGTGTTGAACTGAACGTGGAAATATATTTCCACGGAACAAGGAAAAGAAAGGAATATTTATAGTTACCTGCTTTATTTCAGTGTATTTGCTTCAAAACATGTTGAACAGGATGAAAAGTGTTTGCAAACTGTGACATGAACAGCTAATAGCTGTCAAGCACTTACTATGTGCTGGACTATTTTAAGCAAGTTTCATGTATTAACTCAACCTTCATATTATTTCTATGGAGTGGGTGCTATTATTAATATAATATGATTTAGTATATAAATCATGTCTTTAAGTATAAGCTGGGAAGTATTTTTTAAAAGAGTATTAAAATAATCCTAAGCCAGGTTGGAAAAGCCCTAATTTCACTAAAAACTGCCATTTTATATGGAATTTTAAGAGGAAAAAAGACTGGCTAGGCAAACATCATGGTATGTGGGTAGAGAGAAGTACCTGAACAAAACCGTGAGGTTACAAAAGCAGAAAGAAAAGCTGCAGCCCAGCCCGACTGTGGACAGTCCCAGGGGAGGCGAGGCACTGAATACGGGCAGTAGGGAGCCACTGAAGGCTGAGGCAGCTGAAGAAGAAACGCGTCATGGAATCCCAGGGGCAAAGGTCCAGTTACAAGTGCAATGCTTTGGAATTAGAAAGGAAGCACGTCCTATGCAGCAAAGTGGCCTCAATTTTTCATGAAATTAAAACAAACAGCAACTCTATAATTCAAAGGGGTATTTCTTGTTATGAAGTAACTTTTGATACATTCTTATTCAGAATAGAAAAGAGAGGCGCCCTTAAAGACTAACGGGCTCTGGGAAATCGGCCTCCCGGGGGCGGTGACCTCCGTCCCACTCCGTCTTGGACGGGCTCCATTTACACCTGTCGCCTGCGCTCCGTCCGCTTCGCACCCTTTGTAACTCTCGAAAGTGTCCAGATTAGAACTGGATCGTGATGATGGCTGCACAACTCTATATGTTTGCTTAAAATCATTAAATTTTATACTTACAATGGGTAAATTTTACAGTTTGTAAATTATACCTCAATGGAGTTGTTTTTTAAAAAGTCCCAATTTGAATGACAAGTTATACGATCATTCAAACCATAAGCCAGGGCCTCGAAGCCTTAAGAGTAGTTAGCTGATCTTCAAAAAAGAAAAAATTATTCCAGGGCGTTCTTTTCCAAAAAGACAAGCTTTTTTTCTTCTTACTAAGATAGTTTCTAGGCACGTGATATAAAAATAAGACCCTAGCGAGTCTCAGAAACTCAATGCCAGAGAAGGCAACCCATCATAGGCCTTGGCACAGCCTCCCATAAATGCTTCATTCGCTTCATAAATATGAAAGCGGCACTCCCAATTAACCCTATTTATGAGGCAGTCCAACACCAGAGGTGGCCTCTGTCTGCTTTGAAAGGATACATACAACGTTAAAAGCTTTGGTGTGTCGCCGGCTTTAAAAACTAAAGCCAGGAACTTTTCCAACTTCGACTTTAAATCTGGAGTCCAAGAATCCTGAAAGGAAAATAAAAAAGAAAATAAATAAAAGCACTAGGTCTCTAAATGCCGACGGTATCGTCGAGTTGCGGCCATTAGGGTTAAATAAGAGTTACTGAAATCGAAAGCAAGCTGTCTTGCCAGGGGTGTGACGCTGTGAAAAAAAAGTTAGGGCATCTGACCAATTCATCTGTAGAAGATTCAAGTGCCCACAGCAAGAAGAAAGGACAGCGTTCTTTCCTAAACAGGAAAAAAGTAAACTTGTACGTGATTTGAACATTTCATGTGATTTAAACACAAGCATGAGAAGTAACCTGATTAGGCTACCAAAATTAATTCATCACAGTTTAGAGCATAGGTGGCACCAACAGACATACACAATTATCACAAAGCTACTCAGTCTCCCAAAAAAGGGACTCATATCCATAAACCTCATCTAGATAAGAAAAAGACAGTTGCTGTTATTGCATCAAATACTCCATCATGTCAAGAGTATGATATACTTTTAGTTTGATTTGTCCCCTAAAGTAAATTATCTCAATAGTGCTAATTGAGAAGAAAAAAATAATGACTTAAGTAGTAAAAGAGAAAAATATGACAAGCAACAACCTTTCTCAGGAAAATTATCCTTATAGTCTTCATATAAAAAATATCTACCACTCAAACCAAGAAGTTCCACAAAAAAAAGAAGCTATATCACTAAAAATTCATACCCACTTACCTCTGAGCTCCCACCCCCACCTCCCTCGGGCCTTCCCATCGTTCCCCACCTTCTTACCCTTCGGCTTATAGACTCTGCCCTGCCTCCCACCCACACAGTCTACTTGTCATCTGACTTTCTAAGAAACACTGTTAGAAAAGTCTTATATTGTAAAAAGATGCTGTAATTCCCCACCACAGCATAACTTTATTTATAATGTGTGTGGTATGGGCTGAAATGTGTCCCCTAAAAAGTTATGTTGAAGTCCTAATCTCCACGGAATGTGAGATCACTGGGAACAGGGTCACTGCAGATGAAGTTAGTTAAGATGAGCTTGTACCGGAGTAGGGTGGGCTCTTAATCCAATGTGACTGGTGTCCTTATACAAAGGGAATTTAGACACAGATACAAAAAGATGGCCATGTAAAGAGCAGAGACTGGAATTACGCTGCCACAAGCCAAGGGACACCTTCAACTGGAAGAGACGAGGAGGGCTCCTCCCCTAGAAGATTCGTGGGCAGCATGGCCCTGACACCTGGATCTCAGACTTCCGGCCTCCTAAACTGTGAGACGACAGATATCTGTTGTTTTAAGCCATCCAGGATGTGGTGCCCCATCGTGCTACCGCTCCAGGCTCTCAGAAAAGAACCACAAGAAAGGACCACTATGTTGGCCAAGATGGACCAAGAGATCTTAAAAAGCCGAAATAAAACGAAACGTCTGGACTCCCTAGACACACTGTAGTGCAGTCACAGTCTTAAAGGCCCGAGAAAAATGACAACGTTCCACTACGAAGGAACAGCGATCAGACTTCAAAACAGCAACCGTAATAAAACGTCAATGTACTAAAAGAAGTAACTGTAAACCTAGTACTCTGAATCCCATCTGAGAAAGCAGTAAAGATGTTTTCAGACAAAGAAGAACTGAAGAAGAGCTTCTCAACTAAAGAGGGTGTTAAGGGAACACGCCTAAGGGGAGCAGGAAATGACCCCGGACGGAAGGTCCTCGCCACGGACGGAGTAGTGAGCAAGAATACTGGCAAATGTAAGGGTCAAGCTATACACAAACGGACTGCATAAAACGGCAAAAATTTCTAAGGTGTGGGGTTGAAGTAGATATCCAAAACATTTCACAACAATAGCACACAAACCGGAAAGGGGATAAATGAAGTTAATGCATTCTCGGGTCCTTTTAATGGTCAAGAAAAGGATAAAGACATTAACTTTAGATTTTATTATGTATACAGGCTACAGGAGCGCTGGTGACCACTGGGAGGACATACGGAGAGGGCAGCAACGGGGGAAATGGGACGGAAGGACTCCACGAGCACTGCCACACTCCGGAACTGAAGGACCGGAGCTCCGCCTCACAACTCCAAAGGGCTGCTGTGTGGCCGAGATAACCCAAGACGCCTCCGAGTGCCGCAGCCTTAGCTGGACCCTACCCTGGCGGTGCCAGCTCGCCTCGCCTTGGTCCAAGCTGTGCCCACACGGCTGTGTCACAATCTTCCTAAACAGAAGTCTTCACAGTGAGAAAACTAAAAGTCCCTCTTCAACAGTCGTCACCTTTCCTGACCATTTTATATCTCACCCTCCAAGAGAAGAAGGCAGTGAAGCTAAGTCTGGCCTGACCCAGAAGATGAGCACAGACTGAATCAGCTACTCTACAGCGAGCCAGCTGTCACGAGTCAGCCGGCCACCCGACCTTCGGATTGCTGGCTGCTCTTCAGGTGTGACGGAGCTGTTCTGCTGAACTATGAATGAGGAGGGGACTGCCACGCACTGGGTCTGGGAGAAGAGCTGCATCCACGTTCAGGGGCAGTGGGAGAAGCTTCATGTAAATTCTTGGAAACAGTGTAGGGTCTTTAGAAAAAGCAATCTAATTATATCAAAATATTTCAGTCTCTAAATACATCTCAATACAACGCTCAGTAGGACACATTAATTTTAGTAAATCAACAAAAATTACTATAATAAGCAAATCTTGTTAATAAATATGCTGAAGTGTTAACTAAAATGAAGTATAATGATAAAAAGAGCTATAGACAAATAGTCTGATGGAAATAAGAGCATATAAGCAAGTAAATATATGCCAAGTGAGAACTTTAGTACCAATTAAAATATACATGGCCAGCAATTGTATAAAGTACTCTAGCTCTCTTTCAGGCTACTAATTTTTAGTATAGTTGAATAAATTATCCTCCCAACACCAAAAAAATATCCTTGGAATGATTTAAGAGATCAGTATCTTAAAAATATTTATGTCAGTCCGGATTAACAAGTCTTGGTATAATCCCCCGCAAAAAATAGCATTTTATGATACAAGAAAGACTTGTTAAAGCAAATTACCTGAATATTCTTAAAATAGAACATAAGCAAATTTTAGTCTTTTCCAGCATCATTGAGAACCCAGCAGCGTAAACAAGGCGAAGCCACAGTGCTCTTCCTGATCAACACAGACGGTTCAAGGCTGTCACTCACCTGGAAGAGCTCTTTAAAGGACGGGTGGGCCCTGGGGTTGGGAACGAAGGGCAGGGCATAGAAAGGGAGGAACTCAGTGGTCTGGCTCAGCGCTGCCCCTTTGGTCTCCAGGTAGGTTTTGAAATAAGAAATCCTTTCATCCAGGTCCTCTTTGTCCTACGAGGAAGGGAAGACACTCGTCTGAGCTCCCCTGCGTGACACCCAGTCCCCCCGTCCACCCCCTCCTCTAAGGCCCTTTCAGCTCAAGCCATGTCACTGGTGGCCTCCCCACCTGGCCTTGCAAGCGCACTGTCTGCCGTCACCCTAACATCACCCCCAACACTCTCCTTCCATGAACAGCATGTTCAATATGCTGCCTTTCCCTCTACTACCATGTTCTCATATCGTTAAGATCCTTCATAAATATCATTTTTAATGGCAGGACAAAACCTCATCTTGTGGGCCTATCACAACTGATTTAACCAATTCCCCATTATTAGACATGTACATTATTTCCATACATCAGAGATGGTAGACGTTAGTGAATCTCATGATTCGATTAGGAGAGGTGTCTAAAGCTGGAAACGGAAGTTTCCATATCATATTCTCATATTCTTTCCTTCATTAAGCTGAGAACTGATCTCGCCCACTTCACTAATTCCTTGTGAAATGCAAGGCCAGGCCCTCCCAGGGTTTCCATTTCCTCCTGGCCTCAGTGGGCAGGTGGGACGAGCTGAGCCGCTCATTGAGGGTTTGGCATGTTCCTCCCTGGACCATGTGGCCTGACCAGTGATGTCCCGCACCCCCCATCCCCCGCACAGTGTGCGCAGGCGAAGCCTGTTCTCATCAGTGCATCTCACTGCGCCTACACCGTGAAGCCTCTTCTGACCACTGGACTCATATGTACAACATTTACTGATTTTTTAAAAAAATCTTATATCAAAACGGAAAAATTAGAAAACAGAAATAAATAAAAGAAAATGAACATTTCCCACGATTGTACCCACACGAGCACTGTGCTCAGGGACAGCTTTTCCAGAATGGCTATTATGACGTGCGGAAAAGCTGCTCCCTCCATCAGTGACCGCCCCTTTGGCCTCTGACATTTTAATAAGTTAACGCAGGTCCTTAGGGCTGTAGGAAATGCCTGGAGAAGCCACTAAACACATGCATGTGGTCACACGTCAGCCTGGCCCCGCTCGCCCTCCACGCAGAGGTCCACCTGCCAGAGCAGCCTGCAAAGGCTTCTCTTGTCCTCACGCCTCCAGGCCCACCCGGAAAAGACCATGGAAGCTCAATTCAACCTGCCACGCAAAGGGACTTTCACAAATGGGCATTTTCCCACTGTTTATGCTTGTGTTTCTCCCCTAATACATGGTCTAACATCCATACCCCTTAGCAAGGATAAAATGGTCATAAAATTAAATGAATGCGCATTTGGAAAACATAACAGCTAATGCTGTCCCTTAACGAGCCGTTGGGACCAACCCGCAGCACAAAGCGACCTACAGGCCTCCCCACGGAGTGCTTCAGGAGGTAGATGGCAAAGTGGATGTGAAGATAGAACTCCAGCTTCCGGGCCAGGGTGTCGCCATCTCGGAGGGAGCTGGGGACGTGCTCCTCCCATGAAGCGAAGAACGCCTTCTGGTCTCCACTGTCAAACGCAGCGATGAGGTCCCTCTGCAGAGAAGACACCAGAATGAACCCCGTCAATGAGGGTGCCCTTTCTCCCCATGCCCCAAATTCTCACAACCCCCACGGTACCTCAGAGACCCCACAGACCCCAGGGCTTCACTATAAGGAAAACCGAGGCTCCCCTTCAGATGGAAGGGATAGAAAGCTGGGGAGTCAGGGGGCTTCGAGCTCCTTGGACTGAGGTCCCTGCAGATTGGCCCTGGCGTCCCACCCCTTTCGAGATCAAGTCTGGGCATCATAAGGAACAGCTGAGCCGTTTAAGTCTCTGAAATGGGAGGATTCAGGCACAGGCCAAAGACTGTGGCCGGAGAACTCATGGGCACGTGACTACAGTGCCCTTGGGACCTGCTGACCTGCATGTGGCAGATGCAAACGGGCCTGACCCAGAGCCCAGCCAGGCCTTGGCAGAGCAGATCTCACGTGTCTGGCAGCTGGCGGCACAGCTGCCCAGTCCCTGAGTCACGTGAGCGCATACACAGAGACCCAGGCAACCCCGGGCCTGGGAGATGGGTGCTGCCCCGTCGCTAGGAGCATGTCCCCTGAGACGGTACTGTGGGAGGCGACTACCATCCCCCATATAGTGACTGTGCCCTTCGGTTACGGAACAGAGCGGCTCGGGCCGGAGCCAGAGGAGGGACACAGTCTGGGTGCCACTGCAGCCTCGGAGCTGTGTGAGTCTGACCACGGGGGGCAGAGACGGTTCCTGACTCCCTACTCAATCGATGAAATAGAGACTCTGGAGAAAGGAGGTGGTGAGTGTCATGTCACCTGCCTCACAGAAGAATGACAACTGACCCACCACAAATACCTGCTGCCTAGTTCTGCGGATTTAGGTACAAGGCAGGATCGAAAGAACTTCCTAATGGTCCAGACCAATGTGGCAGCAGCTCAGCGTCCAGGTGCCTGAGGCTGAGGGGACACTGGGCAGAGAGCACAGGCCTGCCTTGACTCTACAGGCCACTCAATGGTGTCCCCACTCAATGGCCAGGCCACTAGGGACTCAGGGACCAGGAGCAGGCAGGCAGTGGCTGTGGCCTAACTTCCAGTTACTCAGCAGGCCTCTCAAAACAAGTGTCAAATTTTTCTTGGAAGTAAGTATATTGAAACAAATAAATATATGTTCTCTTGTCACTGGATGTAGTCACTGTGAACTTACCTAGAACGTTGTTACAAATGGGATGGAGGCATCGAACAAGGGTTGAAACAGGGGCTTTTAAGGTCCTTTCTAACCCTGAGAGCTGCGGACCGTGGAACTCGGCCCCTCGCAGGCCTCCCTTTGACAGGACGTAGCCTTGTCTGTAGGCCTCTTGCTCCCTCCTCCCGAAACTAGCGTGCGCCCGCCGTGAGGGCAGAGACGCTGCTGTGCTCACCTCTCCGTCCCAGCATCGCGAGTTAATAACCTACAGCTGCGCAGGACGGGGACGCGTCTGCCTCAGTTTCCAAGCACCGCGTGGTTCCCCTGTTCTTCTCAATAAATGTACGCGAAAGATCTTACGTCACCACCCACTTCACAGGTAGGGTACGGAGGCTTAAAGAGACGTTAGTGATTCCTCCATTAACACCTGCGATGTCTACAAGTCACTCTGACCAGGTCACCAGAAAAAATTACAACAGTCTCAAATGGTAGCATTTTTTACAAGGTGGGAACATCCTGCTTATCTACAGAGATTTAAAAAAAGTAAAATGTTACCTGGATTACCAACGATTTGGAGTCCCTTAAAGAGCCACCTGCTGTTTTAGATAATGGTTTGCCTTTTATTTTGCATTCTTTTGAAAATGTTTTCAAGGTGTCTTCGAACTCGGCAAAATCTAAATACTGTAAAAAAAAACCCATAAATATATATATTTCTCTGTTTTAACATCAACAAAGTAACTGTTTTTGATGTAACTGCACCAGCTCAATATTATCACCAATTCCTAATGGGGTTTAATGGACTGTCACTTCAGAAACAGTAATTTGGGATCCAGCTTAGAATTTACTTATCCATATACACACTAAAAGCCCAGAAAGACAGTATCATAGAAAACGCTTCTTTACAGAAAATAGGTTTGTTTTCAGAAGGAAAATGTCCGTTGCTAGATTCATTATAATTATTAATAGAAAATAAATCAAGTGTGTGCAGAAGTCTGAAAAAGGCAGGAGGGACAGGTACAAGGCCTGATGGCTTTGAGTCCAATTGGTCTCTGGGAATTCGTTACTTGAAACGGTGGGACAGGAAATAATGCCTGCCCTAGAGAACAGGGGATGACGGGCAAGGCCGTCGGTGACCTTCAGGCACAGCACGAGCCATCACCACCCCCTGAAACGCCCTCCCCCCGCGTCAGTCACATGCGCGATGAGTGACCACGGTTCTCCCCACTTCTCCGCCGTCCTTCTCCGTGTGAGTCAGTCACCCTTTCTGTGTCCTCCTCCTCTAATTGTGGCTATATCCCCAGCCCTGTCCCCAGGGCCCCTGCTGTGACATCTTTAAGAATTTATCCACGATCACGCCAACAAACTCCAGTGCTGCCTCTCCAGGGTGGATGCCTCCTCCTTGCTCCACTGCCTCGTCCTCAATGCCTACGCGACAGTTTAATCACACAGTAAGACGGCAGCTCTATGTGCCAGTCCCGCATCAAAAGCGGTAGGGAACAAAAAACATAAGGCCTGGGTCCTGTCCCTCAAAACGTCCCTAAACGTCTATTAACAGGCACGCCTTAAATCGTTACAATGCAACCACGTGATGAAATACTCCACCGCACGAAAAAGTGTGAGGATCACAGGAAGGTGGTCACGCTATACTACTGCTGATAGATAAAGGGCCAGCTACAGAACTATGTGTATGGTACCATCCCGTTTTGCAAAGCAAACTATAGATGTGAATATATTTTGAATATTCATAGAAACAAGTCTGGAAAGATACTATTCTAACCCATTAGCAGGAAGGGAGCAGGAAAACACACTGTTTATACTTCTATACTATTTGAATCTTTTACCATGAGCATGTATTGCTTTCATTATTTTCTTTAAAAGAATTCTAAAAAGTGGCTTTAAGATTTCAGTTTATTTATGAAAACAAAATATAAACACCTGAAAAATTATATAATGATAAACATAATTATAACATAATGACAGAAGAAACATTACAAGGCACCAAAGACTTTGTTGCATTGTAAATACGAGCTTTACAAGTTTTCAAGGTCTCTTTTTTTGTGACCTGTGGTATAACACACCTACCTCTTTCACTAGTCCAAGTAATTCGGATTCGTGAGCCAGAATATCCCCCATACTGAAAGGTTGCTATTAATTCTCACAGCAAAAATCTCTACAAGGCAAAAATATAAAACAAAAGTTTTCATTTTGACCATATGTGAAATCACACACACACACACACACACACACACACACACACACACACACACACACAAGGTGGCTATGGTGGGCAGAATAATGGCCTCCAAAGATGTCCACGTCCCAATGCCCAGAATCTATGAATGTGTCGGGTTGAATGACAAGGGGGGTTTAAGGCTCCAGGTGGACTGAAGGTTGCCGATCACGACCTTAATGGAAAGAGTAGCCTGGATCATCTGTTGGGCCCAATGTAAGCACAGGGGTCCTTAGAAGGGAAAGCGGGAAGCAGGAGATTCAGGATCAGACGGATGCAGGTGAGAAAGACTCGACCAGCCACTTCTGGCACTGAAGATGGAGGAAGGACCAGGAGCCAAAGAATACAGGCTGCTTCTAGAAGCTGGAAAAGGCATGGAAGAGATTCTCCTCCAGAGTGTCCGGGAAGGAATGAGCCCTACAAACACCTTGATTTTAGCCCAGTCTGAGACCCATTTCAGAATCTGACCTTCAGAACTGTAAGATAATAAAACTGCATTGTTTCAAACCATTAAGTTTGTGGTAATTTATTACAGCAGCAGTAGGAAATAGTGGGGCTAAAGTCAAAAGTAATTCTTCTATGTAATTAGGAACAGTAATTCTGTATTTAAAATGAATGCGGACAAGGACTGGAGGATGGTGTAAATGAGAAGGTCACGGATTGCTGGTGAGATTGGGGAAGATAATTTTCCATACTTAGAGTTTTCTAATGTGCTATAATGTGGCCTGTGTACTTCAAACAGTCAGGGCCACAGGAAGTATTTAGAACAGAATGACAGTTTAATGATAAGCTCATTTCATTGAAGGAAGGATGGGCATTAGAATTGATCTATGCAAATGAACACAGTCACTAATCCTTTGCTCTTCCTCCACGTAAAAATATTAAACATTCAGAAAGAGTCTGCACTGCACGATTTTGCAGTTTTCGCCAGCCACTTTTGGTGTGAGTTAGGTTAATCAGGGGGAGGCTTTTCCAGGAGAGAGGGGAAAGAGGAAACAAGTGTAAATAACAAGGACAGAGTGCTGAAGCTAAGCTACCTCAATGAGGGGAGCGGGGAGGTGCATGAGGTGGTTGTGAACCAGTGAAAAAGTAATGGGGTCAAAGACCTGCTTCAGAGCCACATTAAAAGGAGCCCGAAAGATAGAAGGTGGCGGCTGGAGAGAGAGACAGGTGCTTGAAATTAGGATTTTGGAGGTGATGCAGTAATAAAAGGTTCATCATCGCAGAGGTGAATGGATGAGGAGGATGGAGGGAGAGAAGCCTATAAGTCAGGGGCACAAAGAAACTTGGGTAGTCAGAAAGTTGAAATCAAAACTGAAGGTGAGGGGGTGGAGAGGCAGACAGTGAGCCAGGGGCTACGGTCTTCAAGAGAAAGGACTCTGCCCACAGGTGATGCCTCAAGGAGGGACGGCAAGTGGTAGAGCCCACGGCGCATACCTCAAAGGAGGGGAGAGTAGCAGTGAGGAGCAGGGAGGTCACCTACCTGGCCTGCCACCTCCAGGCCTGCCAGACCCATAAAGCCGAGGAGAGAGACAGCTGCTGTTTGAGGACCACCCACCTGTCCAGCCTTCCTCTGGGCCAGCCACACCCCCTGCCATCGCTCTCTCTGCTCCCTTCTACCACGGCCACGTTAGTGCCACCAGGAGTGAACTCCCAGCCACGTCCCCGCACTACATGCTCTTCCTAAGCCCTGTGTCTGATGTCCTCGCCCCACCTCATGGGCAAACTTGATTCATCACACTTAGTTCAGACTCCGTCTCCCTTAGGAAGTCTTCTACGAACCCTTCCTCTTCCTTGCCCATCAAGGCAATTCTCTCTCCTCTGGGGTACCTCTGTACCCTACATCTACTTCTCCTGTTACACTTATCACCCTGCTTACAAAGGCAGGAAGCGGTGTTCAACCTTGTATCTCCAGGACCTAGCAGAGCGCCTGGCAGGCACAAGAGGTACCCAATATGTCTGGCAAATAGATGAAACCCAAGCAGAGGAAACAGCTTTGTGAAGGCCCTGGAACAAGAAAACTGTTGTTTTTGAGAACTAGAGTTCGTTCCTACTCAGGGCCTCTGCACATATTGTTCTCTCTGCCTGTAACACTTTTCCCCTCTCTTTCTTCACCTGGCCAACCTCTGTACTTAATAAATGTCACTTCCTCAAAAAAATCACCATCATTTGAATAAGATTCTGCTCTGATCATGTCAGTGAAGGTGAGCCACTCGCTGCCGGGTATTCCATTACTCTGACATTCTTAGAAATTACAGAATTTTCTCTAAACCTTTATATCATAATAGGTTCATTCACCGAGAGTTTAATGTCTGCCAGGCAACATTCAAAAGGCTTCACATTAAGTCTGCACAATAAATCTAACAGATGAATGTGATTTATATTCTCCGTTTACAGATGAAGCAACTGAGGCTCAGGGAGGTCGAGGTGCTCTCAATAACTCAGCTAGGAAGTAACAAAGTCGGAACTTAAATCCAGATATTAACCACTACACAGTATTTATTACTCAAAGTTTGGACCACCTGAATCAGAACCACCTGGATACTTGCGCAAAAGGAAACTTAAAGCACTACTCCGATCTTACTGAACACCACGGCAGACGCGGCGCCCATAAACTGTTTTCAACAAGCTCTCCGGATGATTTTTACGCACATTCGAGTTCGAGAACCACCGCTCCACTTTTTGCAGAAACTAGAGAAAACTTCTTCTGTCACTTTTGAGGGCTGCAGCGGCAGCTTCTGACTTTCTATATAATAGAGTTTTTGACTAAGGGTAAGACTATGGGATTTGTCTAGAAGACAGATGTGCATAGCAAGCATCCTGTTTTTGCTTGCACTGGATGAAATCTGGACTTAACCGGGGTCTTTGGAAAGAGGGGTTAGCCGATGGAGATAACGGAAGGGATGGATCTAAAAGTCCCAGGCCTCTCGTTCGCGCCGCCCACTACCCAGCTGGAGGACCCTGGGACCCCTCTAAGTGTGGCCAACTGCGGCAAATATCAGAAGCTACTTGCGGGAAGCAGCTGGGCCTGTCCTCGGCGTGTCCAGGCGGCTGCCTCGGGGCCACGCCGCAGTAAGAGCCCTGGACCGTAGGCGAGAGGCTGGGACGTCTTGCAGCGGCTGCCAAGCTGGCGCATCGGGCTTTTCCTCTGGGGCAAGGGCTCGGGAGAGCCTCGGTCCTCGGGCCCCACAGCTGCCGCTCCCGCGCGGGGAACGCAGGCTCTGGGGTGGCCAGGCCGCTTCCGGGGACGTGCCTACCTGCTGCTTCGCCGCTGGAATCCGCGCCGACGCGGCCAGGCCGCCCTGTCTCCGGCCGTCGCCCCGGCAACCGCCGCCGCCAGCTCAGCGTCACGTGGGGGAGGCGCAGCCAATGACGGGACGCGGTTGGCGCGGAGCATCGTGGGACGAAAATCGGGACCCTTGGGAGGGCAGGAGGAGGACGTGACCCGCGGCGGAAGTGAAGCGGGGGGTTTGCGGTCCAGTGTCCGCTGCGGGTCGCACCCAGCGCGGCTGCGTCTCCCGCCCGCCCCTCCACGACTTCTCCCTCTTTTTCCACAAACGTTGCGCCTGTCGCTGTGCCTGGCTCTGGGGATGAGCTCAAGGCAGGCTCAACCCCCAACCTCAAGGAGCTCGTATCACAGGGAAAACGGACCCCGCACGAGATTACAGTCAGTGTAGTGTTTGCGGGAAAAATTAGGCGTCGTTATTCTCATTTTATAGGAGTGACCCAGGGCCACCTTAGAACCAAAAATGCCACCCAAGATCTGCCTTAAAGCTCCGGGCGCCAGGATTCCACTCCACTGCAGCAGTTTTCAGGGATTTTAGAGAAATTTTTATTTGCCCTACTTGAGATTCTTTTTTTTTTTTTTTTTTTAAATAGCGCAAATCCTTCTTCTTGCATGTGGTGCTTTGGAACTGAAGTTCACCAGCAATGAACAAGCACCTTCCCAACTCTGGGCTGGGGATGTGGCTAGAGATGGAGAAAAATGCTTCCTTTTTAGACACTGCGGCTCCATGGTGGGAGCTTCCGTCCTTCCATGTCCATGCTTCCAACAAGGTGGAGACGGCCAAGGCCAGAGACAGGGGACAGGGCATGGAGAAGGAAGGTGAGCCTGCCTTTGAAGATTCCGAAGATGGTCTGTGGCCACCATCTCTTCGGCCCCCAGCCTTGCCAGTGCTCTTTTGAGATCTGAGATTGTCTTCATAGAAAAGCTGTATTTAGCCGGAAGAGACACCCTGTCCAAGTAATATGTATCGAAAAATAATCTCCCTATTCATAGTAATAAAAGTTAACATTTATTGTCAACTCACTGTGTGCCCGGGATTGCCAGACAAAATACAGGGCACACAGTTATATTTTAATGTCAGGTAAGTCTTTAGTATAAGTATATCCCAAGTATTGCTTTATTTTATTGTGCATACAGTACGTTGTATTGTCCTGGATTTATATTTGCTAAGTATGGCGACTCTGCGTTCTCATTATCGTGTGAAGTGAATTACGTAGATTATTTTATTGAATTCTCACACGACATCTGTGAGGTGGAGAAAACACTTTCAGGATTTTACAAATTAACAGTGTTTACCTGAGCCCTGTGCTCAGGGAAAACAGTGACAGTTAAATCCCCGTACCTTTTTGTGTTCTGGGAAGTGGCTTACCAAAAAGAACTGCCCTTCGTTGCATGACTTAGATAAGACTCACTGCCCACTCAAGATCGTTAACCTATTTAACCTGGTGTGAGTACAAAAAATACTTTCATCACAAAGGCAAAACTGCTTAGGGCTGAAGCTTTGTTTGGGCGGTACCTTAATTGATCCTGCTTGGTATGTTCCACGAGTTCAGAGCAGAGCACTGAACCAGCTGCCTAACCTTTCTGTTTCTTAGGTCTTGCCAAAGCATCCCATTGGCCCTAAATGGGATGTTCTCGTTTGACCACTTCATTTTTCCCAAACTGCCAATAGGCCCAAGATGACTTTCTAAAATATTTAATAATGAAAAAATTGAACATATGCAAAAGTAGATAATCATTTAATGAATCCACATAAATCCATCATTCAAATTCTAGGATTATCAAGATATTGCCCCTGGGAAAAACTCGACACCAAATTCAATTCTTGGAGTATGCAGATCACTTCAGGGGAGCAAACCAGCCATGTGCTGGACGTCAAAGGGACTAACTGAGCTCTGCATTCAGGGACGGACAAATCTGAGTCTTCTGCAGCCAACAGCCCTCTGTGGGCCCCAGCTCTTGAACACCTTCAGAGTGGGAGGCCATGCATCTCTGTGGCATGCTACATAGCTCTTGAATGAATTCATCTTTGCAGCTGTAACAGGCAACTGCCTGGCCTCTGTCTCTACTGCAAAGAGCTGAGACCACAAGCAGAGGAAGAGGGTGTAACACCATCCCCAAAGAGAGGGAGCTGGTAAACGGCACCCCCTGATTTAGGTGAGGTGAAGCCACCTGAATTAAGTCCTGTAAGGCTGACCCGCTCGGACAAACCTGGCAGCCAGCTGGACTGAGCTGTCCTGGAGCTGTTGCAAGAGGAATTCAGACCAAGAGCATGTCTCTGAGTAAGCACAGGGCCTGGATTTAATCAGCGGGTTGGACAAGGAACATACTGAAGTGCCAGGCACAGATCAAAAGATGAACTACTGCTAGACGGTGCTTCTGCAAAAAAAAAAAAAATTCCTTCCAGGAAAGTTACAATTTGGTTACTGCCCAAAGCTCATGATGTGTGAGGGATTCAGATCCATCTGTCTTCCTGGACCAGAGTCTACAATAGAGGTGGAGGAACTGGGTTTTGGTATCTCCCACAGGCTGCTTGATTTCTTGGAAGGAAGGAGCTGTCAGCAGAGCAGGAAAGCAAGGAGGCCTGAAAGTGGGGGAGGCCAGAGTTCCATCTTGGCCTTGAGTGCTGTCCTTTCTTTGCTCTGTCCCAGGGATGTGAGTCATGGCGCAGCCTCCAAGTAGGTCTATGGCCTGGGTGAGGTTGACAAAAAGACCCAGGCCTTAAAATGGACTTCCAGACTAGCAAATCTGGATCCAAGATCGTTTCAAAACAAGTACACCTTCGTGAGAGATTAGTGGGCTCATCAGAGGTGTTCTTAGCTACAGACACTTAAGTTTTTTTTAGTGAGGAATATCGCTAATTTCTAAGCAAGTTTAAAAAGGCACAATGCAGGCCATGTGATGTGAACACAGAAGGTAGGTGGTATGTTGGCCTCAAGTGGATGAGTAGGTGCTAAAGTGATTGAATTTGGATGGTTTCTTGGCAGGTCCACACACCTTGAGGACCAGCCAACATGGCGCACACAGAACATCTTGAGTGATGTGGCTGTCCCTGTGTTTTGGATGAAACAGTCCAGATGAGATTCCTGTGAACCACTAAGCATGTCCTGGCCTCACTGTTGTCTGAGACTAAACACCAGGCCTACGAGTACCGAACGAACTTCACAATTTCATTTATTGCATTCATGGCGAGATCTACATATGGGCTAGAGAGGGGCGTGTATGTGACAAAGCGATAACCGGGCTACTAAATAAATAGTTGGATTAATCTTAATAAAAAGTATAGTTCATGATGATATTAGTTCCACATAGCAACATTAAATCTCCCCTTTTACCCTTCTCCCCACCAATAATGAATGACCCATGAGCTCAGCTGAACCTGAGGTCGACGGTAAGATGGAGACTTTCTGCCCCTCGGGATGAAGCTTTGTTCTGCTCACACACAGGAAGCCAGAAGTGAAACTGTGGGAGAGAATTTGTTAGGACTGGCCGCTGGCTTTCCAAGTGTGGTCCCTAGAGCAGCTGCAGCAGCATCACCTGGCATCTGGGAAAAGCACATCCTCAGGCCCCGCTGAGACCCGCTGAATCGGAAAGTCTGGGAGTGGGCGCAGCAATCTGGGCGATTGGGCGGGGAGGGAGGGTGACACGCCAAGTGTGGGACCCGCTGGACTGAGGGTCTGCGGGAGAGCCCAGGAGTCTCTCGGGCCTCCAGGCCAGACCCGGCGGGACAGAGCGGGCTCTGGGCGGGCGCGGGAGCGAGCCCCCCGTCCCCTGCCCGCCCCCGGGCCTGGCGCCCCGCGGGGGATAAATCTCTCAGCGGGAGCCGCCCGAGGAAGCCGCCCAGCTGGCGCGGGGACCAGGTGGCGCTGGGGGCCATCTCCGCGGCCGCCGCCGCCCCAAGAAGGAACGAGCACGGGGGCGAAGTTTCACCCAGCGACCCCAA